TTACTAATTTGTTATTGATCATAGTTTCTTAGCTTTATATAATGGTTGGGAATAAGATAATAGTCTAGAAATATGTATTAATGCTTCTTTTATCATTTTACAAAATATCATTGCATATTTCCACATATTTCATAATATTTCCACAACGTCTCTAATTTTTACAATATTTCCCCTCGACATTTCTGACATTTCCGGCATATGTCCTATATTTTGGTAAGCGACATTTCCATCGACATCGACATTTGAAACCTTGTTCATAGTAATAAGTAGTGATCTTTAACAATAATTACCATAATTCTCATGAAATAAGTATAAACCCCGTATTTATGAGAAGAAAAATATTAAAGGAAAGAAAAGATACAAAACATAAGGAAAGAAAAATAAGAAGTCCTATTGATTGTTTTTGAAGTCCTAAAGGGTTCAAGACTTATGCGTTGATTAAACCCAAATAAATAAGAAAATAATAAAAAATAGTATAAGAATAATAATATTTATACTATAAACCCACAATACGAATAATTTAGTCTAATAGTATCTACTGTACTACTATTAAAAACATAAAAATATTGAATGGTGTCTTGCATATTTTTTTTTTTTTGAAAAAGGTAAAGTATGCTTGTATTAATATAAGGTCCTGTGTACAATGAGAATCTGTACAAAATGAAGGACCTCAAAAAATGGCCATCCTCAAAAAAGTATAATCAAATATACTCTCTCTAAAAACAGTATGTATAGACATCCAACTTCTCAAAATCTCTATTGCCAAGTTAATGACCTTGGCTTCAGTAGTAGATTTTTTCTCAAAAATCCTATTGTTCCTTTCTGACCACACAGCCCACAGCACTGCCGGAGGGATGAAAGTCCAGCATAACTTTCCTTCTTCGACAGCTCCTGAATATGCCACAGCTCTAGAAGAGCTCTGAGGCCAACATGCACCAGCTTAGATTCAGGGATTTGAAGAAGTGTGACCAAACTGCAGAACTAAACTTGCAATGAAGGAAGAGATGCCCGGAAGGTTCTACTTGTATATTGCAAAAACAGCACCTCCAATCTGGGAGATCAAGACCTTCTTTCAGCAGCATTTCTTTGGACAAACACCTTATCACCTAAGGCGTTTGGACAAGGTGACCCTCCAAGAACACCTTCACCTAAGGCGTCACCTTGATAACTATGCTCTGCTGTTGAATCGTTTTAGGTTGTGCAGAACTTGCAATGGTGTTGGTTGGAGTTGTTGTAAAGGAGGTTGACAGGTTGAAGGAAAGATTGAAATGGCTAGAGTCATGTCTAGTGGTTAGGTTTATCAATTCTGATCAGGAAGAACTTGATGTTTTGGGTTGGGAAAAAACAGAGTGGTGTGATGGGGGTCTTATTGATGTTAGAAGATTGAATGCTGGTTTATTCCTTTTCACATCCAGAAACAAAAGATGTTGAAACTGTTCTCAAGAAGGAATCTGATAGCAGCCAAGAAGCCCCAAGTTGAGGCTGGGAAGGTCGTTGCATTTGGGTGGTCTTGGTCAGATTCAATAAGTTAAGAACTCCATCTAATATTTGTTTCCCCTTTACAAAGGCCCTTGTGAATCAGAAAGGATTTTGCCTATAACTTGCTTCACTTTTGAGGCCAAGACTTCAGAGAGGATTCTACAGACAGTCCCAATTAGACAAATGGGCCTATAGTCTTTTATTCATAAGTTCCTTCTTTCTTTAGGACCAAAGTAATGAAAGTACAGTTAAAACATCATTCTAGAGGTTTGGTCACTCCCAGTCGAAGGATGGTTGAAACTGAATTTTGATGGTAGCAGTGTGGAGGTCCCTTAGTAATTGGAGGAGTACTAAGAGATAAGGGTGGTGCTATTGAGCAGGGTGGTTCAGCCAGAGCAGAATTCCTAGCAGCACTCTTTGGGATTGAGAAATCCAAGGAAATGGGAGTTGGTAGGCTGATCATTGAAGGTGACTCGAAGATTGTAGTGGGATGGCTGAAAAAAGGTGAAGTAACTTAGCAGTTGATATATGAGTTCCAGCGCTTTAAATGGCTTTCAAAAGATATGAAGATATGAATGTTCAAATTAGATTGGTCAGAAGATCAGCCAACAGCTTGGCAGATGGTCTTACTAAGCAGGGGTCTCAGAGAACAGACGTTTTGAGCATATTTGTAGTTCAGATGGGGGATTAATTCTGTAATGGGTTTGCTTTTTCTCACAACTTCTTGTTGTATTCTGCTGGTTATTATCCTTAATAAAATTCTGTTTTTGTGTTGCTCATCAAAAAAAAAAAATCTTTCTAGAGCAGCCTTCGAATGAAAATCTCAAATACTCTCATTATGTCTTGTTTGAGAAATTGCCAAGCAATCTCATAAAAAATTCTATAAAGCCCATGAAGACCTGGTGCCTTGTCACCTTCCATGTTCATATTTCCTCTTCAACGAATGGTTTTTCCAGTTCAAGTGCTTCCTCATCATAAATTCTATTTATGTTTAACCCATTCACCCTAGGCTAAATGGGTTACACATAGACAACATCTCTAATGAGGAAGCACTAGAATTGGAAAAGCTTTTCTCTGACAAGGAAGTTTGGGAAGCAATAAAACAAATGGAAGGAGATAAAGCACTAGGACATAATGGCTTCACAATGAAATTTTATAAGAATGGTTGAAACTACCTCCAAAAAGATCTACTGAAAGTTTTTGAAGAATTTCACTCAAAAGCTACTCTTTAAAGGTGTTTAAACTCCACATTTATCACTTTTTTTTATGATTCTCCACATTTATCACTTTGGGCCCAAAGTGTTCATAAAATCCTCTCTAAAGCCTCGACATTAAAAATGAAGAAAGTAATGGGCAAAATCATTTCCTCTTGTCATGGTGATTTTGTGGACAGAAGGCAAATTTTGAATGGCACTCTTATTGCCAATGAGCTTATTTGACTCACAGCAAAGAGAAGGAAGAAATGGAAACTTATTTAAGGCAAATTTAGGAAAAGATTATGATCATGTTAGTTGGAGCTTCTTATACTACATTTGGGAAGGAATGAAATTGCCATCCAAACAAAGAAACCAGTTCAAGATATGTATTTCTACACCAGCCTTATCTATCCTATTCAATAATGCTTCATATGGAAGATTTAAAAGCTTAGGAGGATTGAGACAAGGAAACTCAATTTCACCTTCTCTTTTTATCTATGTGATGGAAACATTATGTAGAATCAAGGTTCTAAATATCGATACGCCGGTAGGGGCGTATCGGGTAGTATCAGTACTTTTTTTACTTTTTTTACTTTTTTTAACTGTTTTTTTTTTTCAAATCCAGTTCAGGGGGGGCGGTTTAAGGTTCCTCCACTTCCTGAACCAGTCAAAACCCCGATACACCCTCTGTAGGGGCGTATCGGGGTGCTCCCGATACGATACGTATCAGCCGATACAGGCCGATACATGTCGATTTTTTGAACCTTGACATATATAGCAGTTGAAGGTGGTTTCATTTAGGACTTTAAGTTGGGTAAGAACCCAGAGAAAATATCCATCACCCCAGTTTGTAGATGATACCCTAGTCCTCTGTGATGCATCTCTACACCAAATTATCTACTTGGGGCATATCTTAATATGGATTGAGAGTCTGAGACAGCATTAAATTTGGAAATAAACCTATCCAAGACCGAGCTTACTTGGAAAGTTACCAACCTCATAGTTGGTACTACCTCTTGGTGCAAAATGCAATTCCAGGAAGATATGGGATGTTGTTGAAAGATTTGACAAGAATCTAGCCATGTGTAAATCAAAATATCTCTCAAAAGGGGACAAACTCACACTTTTAACAAGTGTACTTTCATCCTTCCCAATATATCATTTGTCCCTATTTCAAACTTCCTCATCAGTGGCAAAGCAAATGGATAAAAGAAATGAGATTTTTTATGGGTTGGCTGGAATGATAGCTCCAAATTCTACTTTGTGAATTGGAACAAGGTTTGCATGGCAACAAAATTTGGTAGGCTGGGACTTGGAAAAATAAGGAAAACAAACAAAGCACTTCGTGGTAAGTGGTTATGGCTTTAGCAACAATTGATGGGATACAAGACCTTCTCTTTCTCCATTGGGGTGTAGGATTGGGGTGGCATTCAGAAAATACTCTCTGCTTTCCTAAAGGGAATCAAATGTAAGATTGGAGATGGTAGAAGGGTGAAACTCTGGACTGTTAAAGTGACGCAGAGAATCTACGCATGAAGAGCAAGTTCCTACCTTATATGAAATAGCCCAACACAGAAATGTTGAAATGGAGGATTGATTTGAGCTGATGACTAATGAAGTGATATGAGGACCATCATTCAAAAGAAATATGAGCAATTGGGATTCGAGAAATAAACTCAATGGTTTAATTAACAAGACAGTTGAAAACTTGCAATTCATCAAGTCAAACCCAATGGAAGAGGATGAAAGGGTGTGGAAATCAAAAAGGGCAAATTACAATCTAATCACTTTCCTGGGGCTAACTAAAATATGGAACTCTGGCTTCCCATCAAAAGGTGGCTTTCTTGGTTTGGATGACTTCAGTTGGTAGATGCTTAACAAAAGACCTGCTACTCTGATAGTAAGAAGAGGAATGATTCTGGACAATAATGCCCGTTCCTTGTGCAATGAATACACAGAATCTTCGAATCACCTTCATATTCACCACAAATTCTCTCATCAACTATGGACATTGGTCTTACAATGCTTTGGGGAACAATGTTGTCTTCTGGGAACAGTTCTGGAGTTAATTAGAGGATGTAATAAAAGATGATCCTATGCATTTTTTTCTTTGATTGCTTAGGCAATAGCAGCTAAAGGAAGAAGGGTTCTTAACAATAAAAGAAGGTCCATTTCCTTTTGTTTTTTGATTGTTTCGGTAATAGCAGTGAACGAACCAGGGTTCTTAATTTCTTGGGACATTTAGGCAATAGCAGATGATCCTCTTTCTTTCTTCTTTGGTTGTTTATGCAATAGCAGTGAAAGAAAGAGGTGCTCTTAATTTCTTTGGTTGTTTAGGCAATAACAAATGATTCTCTTCCTTTTTTTCTTTGATTGTTTAGGCAATATCAGTGAACAAAAGAGGGTTTTTTTTCTTCTAACTTCTCCCTCTTTTTTCCTCTTATCAATCATTCTTCTAACTTCTGTTTTGGCACTTTTTACATTTTCTTCATTTTATCTATTTTTTAGAATTTAAACATTAATATATTTATGACATCACAGACTGATCCACTTGACCCAGTGGTTGAACCACTGATCTGGGACCTGGAAGAAAAAGTGGTACTGTTTCCTGGTTGGTTTTTAAAACATTGGCTAAAACAAAGAACCCACAGTCTAATGGCCAGTCCTGATAGTTCTCTCCACAAAGTATAAATAGGACAGCATACTGGAGAAGAATCTAAAGTGATATGATAGATCCCCCTCCTCTGTATGTGTGTATGTATTGTGAGTATATCTTAGTGTATGTATACCTACTAATAACATCAGTTTGTATATCTATGCATATAAGAATGTACTTATGTTAATAACATTTGTTTGAGTACTGTCTTCCTATTTCCTGACTACAAAAATGTAGGTTCAAGGCACATTAAATTATGAAAGATATTTTATATTTTATTAAGGACAGAATACATATTGCAAATATGGATCAATTAAATTTTCAATATACTTGGATCCAATCCAAATCTGATCCATATATTGCCATAATAGAGACAAAAAATAGAAATATCTTTATTTTTCTAAGGGAAATGTTTTCTGATATATGTATGGAAAACTTTAGCATCATTTACTACACAACATTTAATAGACAACACCTAGTAATCACCTACGCAAAGAGTTGCCTAAGTTTTGCAATTGCTGGACTAGACCAGCATCGTGTCTCCTGTTAGTTAGCTCATGCAAGAGAGAAAGAAAGAGAGAGAGAGAGAGAGAGAGAGAGAGAGGGGCCACGTATATGAAGAGACATAAAAGTAACAGCAAATGCATCACTAAATAGAACCCAACATACCTCATCATCATTATCAAAATCCAATTCCAGCAAGCCATCATCATTAAGCCATAGGTTGAATATTATAATTTTTGTTCCATGAGGTCCAATATCATCAAACTGAAATGAGGAAAAATATATTAGTTCAAGTGCAGTGAAATTACATTCTACAACCTTATGCAAAACCTATCCTATTAATAATTCTGGAGAAAATGAAGCAAGTCAGTAGAACAAACAAGCACAAATTTACCATTCATTTCATTGTTAAACTCAATCAATGAAAATAAAGCATGGTATACCAAAAGAAAAGGTACGTAACAGGTCCAAAAAGTAAAATATATAACAAAATAAAAGTAGGGCCTTGAACAGATTGCAATATAAGTGATGAGAACCAATTAACAGAGTGCACTAAAGAAAACTCTTTAAAGTACAAGGAGAATATATAAGAATAAGTTGACAAGGGAACACCCCAAGAGCTGCTTGGTGGACAAAACAAAGCCTACACATTTTGGGCAATTCTAAAAAAAAAAGATTGTATATTAAAGAAGATAAAACAGTGAGGGCAATACAGCTGGGGAAGAAGAGCAGTTATCATCATGAAAGAAAGCACGCATATGGTAGAATGTAGAATTCTATCAAGAGTTCAAGACCAAGTAATAGAACACAATCACCACTTAGGAAAGAAAAACATTTACTCAAAAGAACCTGCAGCATAAGCTCCTCCTTTGACCCAAAGGGAGACCATCCCAAGATAATTTTCAAGTTTGCAGCCCAATCATCTTGTGAGCTGAAAATTATTGGTTCTGCACAATGCTCAGAAAGTTCAAAATCAACCTGCATTGAAGATCAAGTTTGGAGTTTGAGAAAGAAAAAAATAATACAATCCAGAACAGATTATTTGGAAATCATTTCCCATTAAAAAGAAAAAAGAATAAGACAAAAAAGAGGAAGAAACAAAAGAAAAAAAAAATCACCATTGGAACAATCACATCATCCTGTCCAGTTCTCCTCAAAAAGGTGTATGAGAGAAGACCAACACTTTGTGTTGCATGGCTAGAAGTAAAACATGCATGTAAAATTGTAAACAAAGTTAGACAACAACGAGAATTAGGAGTAAACAACCAGCAAAGTAAAACATGCATGTAAAATTGTAAACAAAGTTAGACAACAACGAGAATTAGGAGTAAACAACCAGCATCTAAATATTAACTGTATGAAAGAGTAAACCAAATCAGTGGTTATAAAGAGAATCAATTTAGAAAACATGTAGCTTTTAGTATTAATTGTGAGGTTGACCACAAGAAAACATACAAAGGGCTTCTACCTATTTCAAAAAATATAAATAAGATGTGGGTATTATACAATATTTTAAAGGTATAAACTAAAAAAAAGATACATTAACATGTTAGTAGTAAGGTAAATACAAACCCATGGGTATCCCAAAAAAGAGCAGCCAAAATCTAACAAGGGCCTTCCTTACACAATAGATAATACAAACATGGGGAGATAAGAAGACCCTCTCTCTCTTTTTTTTTTTTTCTTTTCTGGGAGGGTGTCAAAAGTATTCAGCCTTCCCCAAGCCACCTCCCAACCGAAGAAGGAAAACCTCAGGCAGATTTAAGAGAGCCAGATCCTTTTAGCTGGAAAAGTAGGAGTTGTGGAGCTGGAGGTGACAACAAGCTGGTGGAAAAAAGACTTAGTAATAAGGGTGCCATTGGGGTTAGGGACCAGATTAGCGTATCCAGGATAGAGTTAGAAATGAAGACCTCTGAGAGCTGGGAAATGAGGGATTAAAGTTCTTCAATCTCAGAGTATTTCAAGGTTCTTCTAAAGTGGAAGTTATAGAACAGACTACAATTATCTTGAAGCACAGTAGAAGATACTAGGGTGTGTTTATTTTGGACTAGCCTATAGAGGGATGGGAAGACCTCCACGAGTGGTCTATCTCCTCACCAAAGATCAGGCTGGAGCCTGATATTGTCACCGGTACCTAGCCTGAACTTGAAGCAGGGAGAAAAGGAATCTAGGGTTTACAGGGATTGGCTGCAGAAACCTCAAGTAGAAGCTGTCGTTGCCTCCTCCAAGACTTCTCCAACCATACTTCCTGGAGATAACTGAAGCCCATAGGGAGTTCTGATCCTTCTTGAATCTCCAAAGCCATTTCCCAAGGAGAGCAAGATTCATTTCCTCTAAATGTCCCAGCCTGAAACCTCCTTTTTCCTTAAGAGTGCAAAGTATATCCCAATTCACCAAGTGGTCTCCCCTTTCACCTCCTCCATCCCACAAGAAGTTCCATTGCAATTTTTCTAAGACTTTCCTCACCTTGGCCAGGATTCTGAAGAGAAAGATAGTAGGTAAGGAGGTTAGAAAGGGTGGACCTAATCAAGGTAAGTCTACCAAATTTTGAGATGTAATTTCTTTTTCAACTTGCAAGTGTTTCTCACAAGTCTCCACAATGGGGATCCCAAAATCCCATGGCCTTGGGATTGCATCCTAGAGGAAGGCCCAAATAGGTTATAGGCCAAGTTTCAATCCTACAACCCAAAGCTTCCTGCAGCTCACACAACACTTCAGGGGAGGTGTTTATGCCAATTATATTGCTCTTATCAAGGTTAGTCCTCAGCCCTGTCATTGCTCCAAAGCACGTCAGTGTCCTACTGAGGTTTTGGACATAATATACATTACCTTAAAGAAGGAAAATGGTGCTGTCTGCATACTGGAAGTGTGAGATACAGATATTATCTCGGCCAACCCTAAAACTCCTGATAAGCTCCAACTCTTAAGCTTTTTGCATGATAAACAGAACTAACTACTTTCACCAATCAGCTCTTCTTCCCCTTAAAGATTTCCTTGTTCAAAAGAGATTTCTTCCAAATACTGGAACAATTTTCTCACAAATTCCTACCCTGCAAAAACGATAACCTTAAAATCTTGCTAAATTGGACTTCAGTTTCCACAATTTTTTCCAAGTCTAAATTTCCTTTTCTTTTCCTCATTCAATCAATAATCGCTTCCTCATCATTCTCTACCCTTTTTGCAGTCTTTTCCTCTAAATCGTCCTTATTCCCCTCCACCTTCTTTTCCCCTAGTAAAGCTTCTTTTTGAAAACCTGAAGTTGGTTCTGAATCCCTTTTGTCCATATTTTCTTCCATAGAATTTGAATCACTGAAGTTGGTTTCAAATCTCTTTCTAGAAACCACTTCTTCAGTATGAGCATCAGAAAGAGATTCATCATTACAACAATCTGGAATCTGGACCAAAGGAATCTCTCTGGCTTCTGCACTAATCAAGCAGGTTTTTTATCTTTTGTTCTTTTCCTTCTGTAGACCCTCTTGAACTTACTACTTGGACCTGCACTAGTAAGACCATCTTTCAACCTAGAAAAAACCTTTGTGATGTGAATCAGCTGTCCTTTTTTGTTTTTGATAAATGAGACTAATTTTATTAATTCAAATAACGGAAATACAACCAGCCTAGGAAGAGGCACGAGATGTTACCTCCCCCGAGGACTGAATCATATACACTAAACATGCCCAAGCCTGAAACACATATTACAAAGTAGCCCAAAACAGATCTCCCCTTGACACCCCTTGCTTGGCCAGAGAATCAGCCATTGCATTTTCTGATCTACTGACCCACTGAAACCTGACAGTCATATTTCTTGTCATCCATTTAACTTTCTTTAACAGATCCCTGTAGCCCCAACAAGCTGTATCTGGGCTATTCAGCCAGCTCACTACTACCTTGGAATCCCCTTCTCCTAACAAATTGTTCACTCCAATTTGACTAGCCATCTGTATACCTTGTACCGCTGCTAGTAACTCTGCCCTTACAGAATCACCTTCAGCCACTGGTCCTGAAAAAAGGGACAACAACATATTGCTGTCTTTGTCTCTCAGAATTCCACCATTTCTGGATGGCCCTGGGTTACCTTGGCAGCTGCCATCAAAATTCAATTTTACCACTCCATCCGGTGGGTGTTTCCATTCAACTTGTGATTTGTTCTTGGTGGAGACTGTAGAAGCCACTGCTTCCCAGATTCTCCTTAAGTCATCAAAGGAGAAATCTGCCAACAATTGTGAAGATTTCAACCATGAGATTGTCCTTGTCAATATGCATTCCTTGATTTCAGCAAGACTTCTTTCCTTTTCTTGAAATATTCTAGCATTTCTCTCCTCTCATAAAATCCACAAGGTAGCGGCTCTGATACATTTCCACATTAGCTTCCCTCTTTTTGTCAATCTCCCAAGAGTAGCTGGAGTGAACAGCAGCTTTACTTCAGAGGGAAAGTAACACCTGCACCCAAATAAGGAAACAACCCAGTTCCAAATATTGGCAGCAAAGGAGCACAATATCAGCAAATGATTACAGTCCTCACCCTTCACTTTACACATAGGCTTCCCAACAGAACACTGCTATTTTGGGGGGTATTGGCCTTGACCAAACCTCTTTAACAGGGAAGACCTAAAAGGAAGGGTTAGAGCAAAGGGCTTTAAAGAAAGATGCACAAGTGAAAGAGCCAACCGGGGTTAGGAACCAAACTCTTTTATCCAGGTTAGTGGGGTCCAGACACACCAAATCTAGAAGCAACAAAAGCTCTGAAACACAATGAAACTCTTCACCCCTTAACCCTCTTCGAAACCCAAAATCCCAGTTTAAAGCCAAAGGGCAAACCAGGGGGGAAAGGAACCATGAAATGGGTTTCTTTTTAAAGAAGGAGATGGAATAGAGAGAAGGGAAACAGTTTTTTAGGGGTTGAGTGCTCACCCAAGTATCTTCCCAAAAAAGAATGGAGTTTCCAGAACAAGCATCGTACCAAACAAAATTGAGGAATTTAGGGAGAATGCCAGAGATAGCCTTCCAAGCTGTTGTGAGCAAAGCCCTTCGTGATACCCCTGCATCCCAACCTAATTCAAAACAGCCATGGATACTTTTCACTACTTCATGCCACAACCTCTCCCTCTCCAGGGGCCACCTCCAAAGCCATTTACCAAAAAGAGCCTCATTCTTACTCACCACATTCCCTAAGCCTAGGCCTCCTTTTTTGCTCCGACTCACCACCTCCCATCTAATCAAGTGATCTTTTTCTCTTCTCCAGGTTCCCATAAGAAGTCCCTCATCAGTTTTTCCAACCTTTTTGCCTCCCTTTTAGAAATTCTAAAGATTGACAAGAAGTATAAAGGCAAGTTTGCTAAAGTTGCTTTAATCAAAGTAACTCTACCACCCATGGAAATATAGCTTCTCTTCCAAGCTGCCAATCTTTTTTCGAATTTTTCCACCACCGGGTTCCAGAACCTACTTTCCTTTGGATTTGCACCTAATGGAAGTCCTAGGTAGGATAGAGGCCACTGAGAGCAAGTGCATTCTAATAAGGCTGCTATAGACTCCATCTCCTCTTTGTTCAAATGAACTCCCACAACAAAGCTCTTCTCAAAATTTACCTTCAAATTTGAGGCCCTCTCAAAGTGAATCATTAAATCCTTCAGATTCCTTACCTCCATTAAATCAGCTGTCCATTATTACTTTATTAGTTCCCTTTTAACTTTCTTGGATTCACTGGGGCCTTAGATTTGCATAAAACCTGCCTCACCAAACCTTCCTTTTCTGTTTCTTGCTTATTTCTACCCAGTTTCTGGATTTGCTTGTTTATATACAGAGGGGAGGGGGGAATTCTTCTAGAGCTTTTTTAGTTTGAATGATATACTATTGATGGTGTTAGGTCCAAGGGATTTCACATTTTTCCTCTTTTATTTGATTTTCTTTCCCTTTGTATCCTCGATATGTTTTTCTTTATTAGCATAAATTATACACTATTACCAATAAGAAAATAAAAGGAAAACATTTTTAAAAAGAAACAACATCTGATTTCCCACACAATTCAATTTTAAGAATCTCATTGAAATAGAAAAGATAATCTATTTGTCAACCAAAAAAATATGTAAACTGTATCCAACTTAACAATAGACAGAAACCACCTTCCATTAGTTGCTCGACTAAACACAATAACATCAGCACCTAGACGCATGGTACTTGTCTTGAATCCATTGCCATCTAGGAAAAAAAATGAAGATGCCTGATCAGATTTCCAAAAAAAGGAAAGAAAGAAAGAAGGAAACTAAACCAAATAGAAGAGATAAAGCAGGAATGACTACACAAAGCACTCAAAATTCCCTATGGAAATACAAACTAAAAATAAAAGGTATGTACACACATAATAGTCGCTTAATTCAAAACAGACCCCAACTTTAACATAAGTCCTGTCTAATTCCATGTGGCTGTCACAACAGACTTCTCTATGAAAATCTAGGGAAAGGTAAATGCATACTTCTCTATGGTATATATGGATATTCATGTGGCTGTCACTACAGACTAGCATTTCAACATCACAAATTCACATAAGTCATTTCTAATTCCATGGGCCCAAAAAGCTGCAGCAGTAAAGTTAACAAGTCATTGAGTCAAGTGCCAAGGCTCACAAACTTCACTCACTTCAGAAAGCATAATACCTGTCTAACTCAAGGGAGCCTAGCCTACATAATTTGGATTTGATTCTCCCAATCAAATCTCTGATTGGATTCACAATATATACTGAATAATGGGTCATTCCTCAAGATTTACCTTTTTTATATAAGTAATATAACTTTATTGATTAAAAAACACAAGTAAAAGGTTACATAGAGCAAGCTCCCCATAAAGAGGCGTGAGTTGCCGCCTCTAAACTACAACACAGTTTACAATTGATCCCAAAAGAAAGGGTTTCTATATGCCCCTTGTTTGGCTAGAAAATCTGCCATCTAATTTGCCGATCTTCTTTCCCATTGAACTCTGACTGTTATATTAGTAGTTAAGCATTTGAACCTTCTTATAGCCCCACTATAGGACCAAGCTATAGTTTCCAGCTCTTTCAGCCATTCGATAACCAGTTTAGAGTCGCCCTCAATTAACAAGTTTCCAACACCCAGATCCTTTGCAATCTCTGACCCTTTAACTACAGCTTGAACTTATGCATTAACTGAGTCTCCCTCACCTATAGGACCAGAAAATAGGGCTACAACCTGGCCCTCAGCATTTCTGAAGACTCCCCCAACGCCAGATGGCCCTGGGTAACCAATACTACTGCCATCAATGTTTAACTTAATAACACCTACTTCAGGAGGTCTCCACTCCACCAAAGGTTTGTTTCTTGCAGCAGAATTGTTGGCAACTTGCTCCCAATTTCTCCAGATGTCATCAAAGGAGAAGGGTGAAAAGAGGTCCAAGGACTTTACCCAATTTATAGTCCTATTTAGAGTGCTTTCCCAAATACTAGACTCATCCTTTTCCTTGTCATTGAAGATTCTAGCATTCCTTTCCTCCCAAACAGTCCACATTAGGGCAGCTCTAGCGCACCTCCACAAGACTCTACCCCTTCTCTTCCGCCAGAAGAAGGTTGAAGGGACAAAAAGACTACTGATCTGCACCAGTTCAGTCCACCTGCAACCAAAAAGACCAAAGAGCTTCTCCCAAAGACCAGCCACAACAGGGCAAGATATTAGTAAATGGTGGCAACTTTCCCCATCTGCTTTGCAGAGGGTACATCAGTTAGGGGAGATACAAAGATTAGGTCTTTTAACTTGCAAGACATCCAAGGTAATTAATTTTCCAAGAGACACTTCCCAACAAAGAGCTCCCACTCTTACTTGTAAGATTCAAGGAGGGGCTGCAGCTCGCGCCTCTCCCTAGGATTTTGTATGAACTCACTCTAAATCTGCTTCTGAATTAATAAATTTATTATCATTCATCAAAAAACAAAGAGCTCCCACTCTTGGAGGGATAGGTTTGGACCAAAGTTCCTTGCTAAAGAAGGCTGGGAATTAGGAACTGGGCACAAGGAGGAAAAGAAGGAAGCACAAGTAAAGGAGCCCGACGAGCTAGGAATCCAAATGCAACCATCAGGTTTGGAAGGATCCAAACAAACTAGATCCAAGGAGTTGAGGAGCAAAGCAACCTGATCAAGCTCAAAGTCTCTCAAATCCCTCCTAAAACCCAAATTCCAGCTGAAACCAAAAGAGAGGAAAAGGAAGGAAGAAAGGGAGATATAATTTCTCTTCCAAGCTGCTGACTTCAGACCCACTACACAATTCTTTTCAAAATTAAACTTCAACTTAGAAGTGAATTCAAACAGCTTTATCACTTGTTTCAAGTTTCTTGCCTTCCATGGGTCTCCTGTCTCATAGAAAATGATTGTATCATCTACAAACAATAAGTGTGTTAGGACAGTGCCCTCTGTACCTTACCCTCCAGCCTCTAATCAAATCCATAGTATCAACTCACAAGAATAAGCCTACTAAACACATCTGTTATCAAGGTAAAAAGGAAGGAAGAAAGGGGATCCCAAAATGTTTTTGGAGGTAACATTTAACTTCCTCTCCTCCACTCTCCCAAAATGTTCCCTATTCCACTCTTTAATTTTGCCTTTTAGCCTTTGGATCTTCCTATGGAACTTAACACTCTTCCCATAATCCCGTCAAAGATTTACCTTTGATCTTCTAGTTGTTTTAAATAGGATTTTTAAATGCAAGTTTTTTTAGTTCTTTTCACGTTCAGGAAAATCAAAAATTCTGTAGATCTTAGATCGGCCTTTGTATTTTTCTAATAAACACTCCATGTATTGGGATATTAGTTTATTCAAGCCATTGATTAAATGAATGAAGAGTTTTCTCTACAGATGTGTTTAGTGCTGAGTCCAAACTTACGAAGGTGCTGACTCCAACTCTAGGTACCGACTCCTAGAAAAACCTAATAGGGATTAGGGATTACTCCTAGAAAAACTTAATAGGGATTAGGGATTCTCTGTTGGATATTAGGTTAATCTTTTTTATTCCACAATTGTCGTTTCAATTTTTTTGTCCATCTTCCTCTATCTATTTGTTGTTTTCCCATGTTTCAGCAATCTCTAAACAGCAAAGCCCATACATGTTCCTCTTCTGTTTTCTTAATTTTTTAGCACTCTTATGTTATGTACTTATGTCCATCACCTTTGTTTCTGTAGAGAAGATGGGCCAAATGGCCCATAGGCTGTTTGCCCATTTTTATCTTTTTATTTCTTTGCAGTAATGGGCCTTATTTGGGCTTTTATTTCTCTTATGTTATGTTTTTTTTAATTTTCTGCCCAACCAGGGCCCTCTCTGTAAATTACTAAAGTTTAAGTTAATGAAATGGGATTAGGGGTATAAGAGGAGATTATGTTCGATCTCTCCCTGAACCCTTATTGCCGCCACCTTCTTCCTCTTCTCTCTTCTTGAAACCTGATTTCTGCTACTTTCAATCAATTTTCTGCAATATTTCAAACAGTCCTTTCATTTCAAAAGGATGTTTTTCTTCTAGGTATCAGAGCAGGCTCTTCTTCTTCTCTTTTTCACCTCTTTTTTCCCATACACAGTGTATATGGAGAACTGAATCGGATGAATAGTTAAAGAAACCTATTTCAGCCCAGTTGTTAGTGGTTTCTGGAGAGAAGGGGACTGGTTTTGTTGTCCTCCTGACAGTTTCAAGTGTGTTGCCCGAAACCCTAATTTTATGGAGAAATTTGATTGTGGGCCCCACAGGGAGTTTGACCTGGGCACTCAGTGACTAAAAGACTTCTTATTCTTCATCTTGAAGATCGATTCAAGTTGCTTGGTGTTCTTTGAAGTCTACAAGGTGCAGCTGAGTTTTCTCTATTTCTCCCGGGTTCCGGGTGTGACGCAGTTAGCAAGTATGGCTACATAGAGGTAGACTCACAACACAGTTTTTCTTCTGTCTTCATGGATTGTTATTCGAAGATATTAGAAGTTATTTTTGAAGTATTTTAAGAAGATGGACCCTTCAGAAGTTGAAAACAAGCATGTTGCTGAATCCGAACAGGTTCTGGGAGCCTTTGCTGACTCTCTACTGGCTGTGACCACAGTCAAGCTAGATGAAACTAATTATCTGGCTTGGTCACAATCAGTAAAAATTCATATCTGCAGTATAGGCAAACGGGGTTTTATTTCCGGGAACAAAAAGGCTCCCCTGGAAGATGACCCATCCTATGAAAAATGGATGCGAGAAAATTATACTGTAATTGGATGGCTTGTGAATCCAATGCAACCTCAGATTAGTCAACACTATTTGTGGATGAATTCAGCAAAGGAAATTGGGGATAGTGTTGCTGAAACCTATTCCCAGAAATTAAATGTAGCTAGAGCATACAAGTTGAGGAGTGATGTGAAGAATTTGAAACAAGGGGAGAAACCTTTAGCTGTTTATTTCTCAATATTGAAGTCTCTATGGCATGAAATTGATTTGATAGAAGTTGTAGCCTGGGAAACCAATAATGATGCTGAGACCTACAGAAAACTTGTTGAGAGAAACAGGGTGTTTGAGTTTTTGACAGGACTGAACCCAGAATATGACATCACAAAGCATAATATCTTATCCAAGGATAGCATTTCACTGTCTCAAGCCTATGCCTTGGTAAGTAGTGAAGAAAGCAGGAGACTATTCCAGGTTCAAGGGGCTAGTCTAAATGATCACTTTGCTAATATGGGAGTGAAACCTAAGGGAGTTACAGGAAATCCAGTTGGCCCAGGGAAGAAAAAAATCATTTGTGAGTACAATAAGAAACCAAAACACACTAAAGACAAGTGTTGGAAATTGCATCCAGAGCTTCTTCCTCTTCGTTTTCAAAATAAGTCTGATAATATGAAGGCAAGGGGTGCCAACATTATTGCTGGTCAAGATAGTAACAAATGTCTAACTGAAGAGAAGATTCTAGTGAGCAGTTAGCAGCTACGAAGGCAGAGTATGAGAAGTTTGGAAGGATGATCAGTCACCTAGAGGGTGTGGCCTCTTCTTCCAACCCTCCAAGAAATTCAACATCTTCTGCATTTGCTCACTCAGGTATGCAGGCTTCTGCCAATCATGCAACTATCTCAGGTAATCGTAGGATCCCTTGGATTATTGATTATGGTGCTTCTGATCATATGACCAGCATTTCCACTTTGTTTGTTGCTTATGATTTACTCCCTGCCGTGACAAAATCACCCTAG